TCATAACATATTTAAAATTTATATGAATAAAATTTATAAACTAAAATGAAAAAAACACCTTGCTGCATGTTCATGTAGCAATGCAACAGCCTTCCCTTACACTGCTGCTTATATCTATCTCATTTGGGGCCAAGGTAACATCTGGTAACATCTTTAAAGAAAAAACTATACACTTCCTCGGATATTCCTATAAAGATTGTTATCAGTGAACTGAGTGCCATTTAAAGTACATCGAAGAAGAATTTGGTCTTTGTCTCTTGAACAAGTGACTCTATTCAGTTTCTTTTCTTTGCCTTCTCTCTGCAAGGAAGATTAGATATGTCTGTATGTTTATGTTGGACAGACTAAAGGAGTGAGCAACGTCTCCAGCTGGTGTAAATCTGTGTTGCTGCAGCAGTGTCAGTGGTGTGAAGGGTGGTATTATGCTGATTTATTGTGGCTGGAGAATCAGACCTCCTTTTCCTACCCAGCCGGAAGAGCAGCCTGTAAAACAGAAGTCACACATCTCAGTTGATTTGAGAGATACTGCATGGGGTTTATTTGTCTAACAAAATTAAAAAAAAAAAATTAAAAACTCTCTGCAGAGGCTGGCAGCATCCATTTTAATATAGCAAATGTAGAGGGGCCCAAAGACAACCACTGAGACAGACATAACTTCCAGTTTATTAATAGCAGGGGCACAGCAGTGGCTGCCAGGCTGTGAATGTCTCGGGCATACTGTAAATTTCCAGTCGTTAGGTGTTCCTGCTGCTCACCTGTGTATGACATAAATACAGCCTAATGCGATTGAATTATATAGAAAAATGTTACCAATTTCTCTGCTTACTTGGATTCCTTTGGCACAGGTCCCGTGGGCTGAGCTGGCGGAGAATACGTTGCTGGTGCTGGAGGGGAGAGAGAGAAGGCTTTCTTTAAAAAATAAAAAAAGATCCTCTTTTTGTGTAGAACAGCGAGGATTTTTTTCCTGCTTTGAGATTTCTTGCCATTTCATTATTTTGTATTTCAGATAAAACCTTCCCACCTTAACGAGGAACATTTTTCCCCATCAGTTTTAATGGTACGATAAATTGTGGGAGAGCAAAGAAAAAGCTCCTGAAAATGAACCTTAAAAAAAGTTTCTGGAGACTGAAGACAGGCTTTGCAGAGGAAGAGACAAGAGTTACAAGCTAATTTACTTTGCCTTTCTGTTCATGTTTCATTTGTAAACAGCTTGGGTTTCCTTATTTTACGTACTCTTTAGGAGGACATATTCCCATGGATGTTTCAGCTTCCCTGTGGCTGCACAGAGGCAATGGGGCGCAGGGTACTGCAGTTGCCCCTCTGTGGGAAGGTCATGATGCTAAAAGAATGAGGAGGAAACCACCAATTTTTGCCCAAACAGCTCATACAGTCAGATGTGGTGCCCTGAGGGGTTTGCTGTCAGAGCAGCACCTTTCTTGTCCAGGTTTGCATTAATTCAGTGGCCACAGGCTGCCTGTTTCCCTCTGTGCTGAGCATGACAGACCTGGGGTCTGTCACAGCCCTCATCTACCAGGTTAGTTGTACATCTCAGCTTGTCTCAAATGCTCTATCAGGTAAAACAGCTCTTATGCAACCTACCTCAGTGTCTGCATACCATGTGGTGTTATTTCCAAAAAATCAGAAAGGGCAGATGGAAGAGATTTAGGGCAGGCATATGCAGAAGGCGATGGGAGAGAGGAGAGGTGCCTATGGACTGGGGAAAGAGGGTGAACAAGAAGGCACTTGGAGAGGGCAATAGGGTGGCAGGGGAGAAAAGAAAATGTAGGAGAGTAAAACATAGAATAAAGGAGAGGTATGGCTATGACAGGGAGCTAGAAGAAACATCAAAAGCATTGAAGTGAAGGTTACTGCTCAGATTACATAAGCCACCCTTATGAAAGACAAAAAACAATGAAAAGAGACAAAAAGAAGCAAAAAAAGCCCCAGTGAATCACTGTACTGTACAAATTCTTGAAGACATATTAAATGTTGACACTGGGTCCCTAATGAGGCATTCCCTTATTTGATATTCATTGGTAAATCTTCTTGTGTCTAAATACTAGCTCTCTACTGAAACAGTCTGAAACAAACTTCATATATCATCTGAATTTTAATTGTGATGTAGAAATCCAAGAAATGACTGCTTGAAATAGCACTGAGAGATATTTTTGCATGCATTTGCTTCCTGTCTTTTGTGGCTGTTTCAGACCCTCAGCCTCTTCCCAGGACAGATTTGTCCCCAAGGATGCAGCTCACATGTATGCTTGATAAGAATACTTTATTTCCACATGGAAAGCTCTTAAAAAATAAACCTTACATGTGTGAACAGTTGGTCTTTCTCCTTCTTAGGAGTTGGCAAATTTACCTTGAGAAAAATGTGAAAGTGAGCAGAAAACACTTCTGTTGGTAAACCCCCAAGAAGGACCAATTCATGAATTCCTTAGGAAATAGATAACCTTTTACTTCAAGGAATAGCCTGTCTCTTTCATGCTGGATGTGCATTTCTGTCTGTGCCAAAGCAGGTTGTGCTAGGGGCTCTTCCATAGCAGGTGAAATGCCTGCTTACAGCATGTTCAAAGAGGAATTATGGAAAAAGTTCAACCTTTCCTTCAAAAAAAAATGATTTCTACTTAGGATAAGGCCAAATTGTCCCACTTGGATCCCTGTTTGTGATCCAGGCTCTCCTGCAGAAAGCCATACTTTCTCTGTGTAGGTAACCCAGTTGCAGTTCCCCACAGCTGCTGTGTGGTCCCCTTCCAGTGGCTTTTGATGGAGCCATTTGTCCCTTTATCACCCACTCACAGGGGACAGCTGTGACCCTGTCCTGCATACAGCCACAAGCCACATCCTGACTTGCAAGCAGTGTCACCACAGGCAGCCAGAACTGAAATGGGACAAGTTCTTAAAGTCCTTAACAAAGGGGGGTTATCCCCTATAACTTAGAGGGATTTCCTTTCCATGGATTAACTGTATTTTTGTCCCTGCTAACTGCCTCCAAACATTGGCTGGATTACTTTATGAGCTGTAAAATATTATTAAAAGCAGGGATATATATACACACACACACACACACACATATATATATATATATATATATATATATATATATGAAGTAAACATATCTTGAGATATCTATTAAGGCAGATAAATGTCTAATATTAATTAGCTTGCATTTACATTTAACAGAGCAACTCTTATCCAGACAAAACTAAAATGGATGCTATGTAAAATGGATCAGAGGGTTTTGAGTTTAAACTTTGTGCTGGTTTCATTGTGATTATGTTGAAACTAGCTAACAGTAAAATCCCATTCTTTGCAGACTAGTACCTTGTACTTTTGATAAGCTCTCTCCACGGCTGGGATTCAAGTCTGGATGCTGACACCGCATACCATGTTCACACAGTTCAATATTTTTTCCCAAAACATGGTACAAACCAGTCCAGGAGTCCACACAACTGCATCCCTCACTAGGAGGCAGGGAAGGGCAGGCCTACATTGCTCCTAAAAATCCATCACCATTTTAGGTGCACATGCATGGCACTCATATTTAACCATATGATGGAGTGACTGCAACACTCAACAAGGGAAGATTGACCAATGTCACCTACCTAGACTTCTGTAAGGGCTTCAACATGGTCCCAGATAACTTTCTTATCTCCAAATTGGAGAAACGCAGATTTGAAGGTGGACTATTTGGCTCTGGCTGGACGGATGCAGCCAGAGTTGTGGTCCACAGCTCTATGTTCAGATGGAAGCTGCTGACCAATGGTGTCCCCTCGGGGCTCTGTTTTGGGACTGATACTCTTTAGTATCTTTATCAGTGACACAGACAGTGAGATCGAGTGCACCCTCAGCAAGTTTGCAGATGAAAACAAAGCTGAGTGGTGCAGTTGATGCAATAGAAGGATGGGATGTCATACAGAAGAACCCAGACAAGCTTGAGAAGTGAGCCCACAAGAGCTTCATGATGTTCAAGTCCGAGTGCAAGGTGCTGCACCTGGGTTGGGGCAGTCCCAGACGTGAGTACAGACTGGGAGAAGAACTCATTCAGAGCAGCCCTGTGAAGAAGGGCTTGGGGGTTCTGGAGGATGCAAAGCCAGACATGATCTGGTGAGGTACTCTTGCAGCCCAGAAAGCCAACCACATCCTGGGCTGCATCAAAAGAGGTATGACCAGCAGGTTGAGGGAAGTGATTTTGGCTCTCTAATCTGTCCTTGTGAGACCCCACCTGGAGTATTGTGTTCAGCTCTGGGGACCTTAGCACAAGACAGACATGGAGCTGTTAGAGTGGGTACAGAGGAGTGCCATAAAGATGATCAAAATGGTGGAGCACCTCTCCCATGAAGACAGGCTAAGTGAGTTGGGGTTGTTCAGCCTGAAAAAGAGAAGGCACCAGGGACACTTCAGTAGAGGCCTTTCAGCATTTAAAGGGGGCTTATAAAAGAGAAGGAGAGAGACTTTGTACGTGGACAGATAGTGACAAGAGAAGGGGTAATGGTTTTAAATGGTTTTAAGAGGGGAGATTTATATTGACCCTGACTCACTTGGTCAGAGCATCGTGCTCTGACAACACCAAGGCTGGGGCTTTGATCCCTGTACAGGCCATTCACTTTAACAGCTGAACTCAATGATCCTTGTGAGTCCCTTTCAACTCAGAATATTGTGTGATTCTTCTGTGATTAGATGTTTGGAGGAAATTCTTTACTGTGAGGGTGGTGAGACACTGGCACAGGCTGCTGAGAGAAACTGTGGATGCCCTATCCCTGGCAGTGCTCAAGGCCAGGCTGGATGGGACTTTGAGCAACCTGGTCTAGTGAAAGGTGTCCCTCCCCATGGCAGGGAGGTTGGAACTAGATGATCCTCAAAGGTACCTTCCAACCCAAACCATTCTATGATGGTTCATTCTATGATTCTATTATATGCAAACAGAAATGTAGAAAAGATCAAGGACAACTGACTTATTCTCTCTCCTTTCCTCTAAAAGATTGCTAAAAAAATACCTGTTAATATCTTTCCTTTCTTCGGGGATCTTTCAGAAACCTCAGTTGTAATTTTTTCTTGTTTTGCAGGAGAGGATGAGGAGACTCCTTCAGGCTCTGCATCACAGACAAAATCTCTGTTGGTTCTCCTACTTGTCTCTTTGTCGAAGAGAGCAAGATCAGTCTGTTCAATATAATCTTGTACTCTCTGCATTTTGAAGGCTTCTTTAGAAGCTTCATATTCCTCTTCCAGCCTTTTCAAATTTTCCACTGTGAGAGCAGAACTGGAATCTGATGACCCAGTCCCAAGGGTAAATATTTTTGGTTGGGACTGGTTATTGCAAGACCCTGACAGCTTGCTTCCATTAAACATATCTGCAATGCATTAAGGAGATGAGAATCTTTAGCAACAGGCAAGGTCAATTCATCATTCTTGTAACAAAGAAAGAAAGAAAAGAGAAATCCCATTAGTCATTTACTCCTGACGGGCATATTGATTGATGTAGTTAAAATGTTCACACTAAGATAACCTTATTAGATTGAAAATCACTTTCTTTTCAAGAGGATCTACTAGGCTCCAATTCAACAAAGCACTTAAACAAATACCTGATATTAAGGGCATGCCCAGGTCCTGTTGGTGGGATTTTCTTAAATAGTTCCCATCCAACACTTAAAGGCCAAAGCTTAAGATAGCTACAAGGGAAGGGCATAATGCCTTATCTGCATTTTAGATAGGACACACATCAGTGATTTCATTATTAACCTAGTTTGCTTTGGTTGTAAAATTCTGCACAGCTGAAACTTACTGTGTGCAGGCTGGAATAGCGTGCACTTTATATTCATTACTAGTACTCAGACAAATTATTTTGGACATCTTTTGCTATATGCTGATGGAGAAAAAATAAAAATGTACAGTGGAATCTGTTGAATCTGTTTAATTGGACCTGCTGGTGGCCATCCGACCATGCCAATTAAACAAAGATAAACAAAAGCAGCTCTCAGAGGACCTGCGGCGAATAAACCCATGGTGAATACTGCATGATTTTTGTTATTGCATTATTCTATATAGTTCTGTGTCTGAAACATAAACTAGCCATAAAAAGCGACTCACCCTCCTGTTTGCAATATCTGCTTAATTGTGTCTCCATCTTCTGTTCACCCACTCAGTCTGTTTAATGTCAAAAGATAAAGGGAGGAAAAACGATAGGGTTAGTTTGGCAGAACTAGTGCTTTGCAACCTCTTCTTTCCCTGTCTGCCCCTCCCTATCAATTCCCATTGGGCATGATGCTCCCTACTCTGTCTGACTGCAGACTGAGATGGCTGTTTTCACCTGTTTTATCAATGCAGAAAGCCCAAAACCCTGCAGTGCTCTGCATTGTCAGCTTTGTGGCACCCATGAATCACCTCCAAACTTTGCAGACCCCTCTGTCCACATGAGCGGAGTGGTCTCTACCAGCACTGTGAGAGCCCACATACTCTCACTCAGGCAGTGCAGGTGTACTGGGAATCGCTCAGCAGGACATGCTCTTCACCCCTTGGCTGGGTTTCCCCAGTGGAATAATTTCTGAGAACAGAGTAGGCTAAGGCCAAGCAAGACCAGCACAGCACTGTTGAAGGTGAACACGCTGACTAGACAAGGTCCCAGCCAGCACTGTTTCTGAGGTACTCTTGCAGTGGTCACCCCTTACCATTTGTGTGGTAAAGACCATAGGTGGTTAGCACATTTTAACCCACAAGGCTGAACTAGTTTACTTGCTTAATACAAGTGTCTGATACAATGAACTCAAATGCTATGGAGAAGGACAGGTACAGGGTGTCGGTATTTTCCCCTTGTCAATCACAGAGTCACAGAATATTCTGAGTTGGAAGGGACCCACAAGGATCATTGAGTCCAACTTTTAAGTGAATGGCCTATATGGGGATCAAATCTGTGACCTTAGTGTTATTAGCACCATGCTCTGACCAACTGAGCTAATCTCAGGCTCAAACTTATACATCTCATTAAAAGAAATCACTGAGTTGGTCCGGCAAAAGCCATATTCCCTAACTCTGAGCTGATTCACATTAAGGATGGTCTTTAATTCTCCTCTTATTCTTCTCCTGTGATATTTTTTTTGGTTTTCTGGAACTTTCCTTCTGGTCGAGATACTTGTGAAAACCAATACATATGACCCATGTGACTACTCTTAGGTTTAGGTTGTCTGTCAACATCTGATTTTAAAGCACCTAGCTTTACTAGTGCCACTTTAACACTGCATCCTTCATTGCTGGGACACAGTTTCCTAAAATATCCCAAATAGCATATTATCATGTAAACTAATTACATCACTAATTTTAATCTCCATAAAGAACTAGCTTGTGAAGTCTGTCACTTCTGCCTTTCATAAACGATTCTGTCATTTCTCTTGTAACAAACTGTTAAGATTCCTTTGCTTCTTCATCATATTTAAAAACATCTCTATGTCATTAGCTCTGCTGATCACTGTCCTGCTGTCATTCTACTTCATTTGTCGAGTTTTCATGGTCACAGACCTAGAGAACAAACCAGGCTGGAAGGTGTCTCTGGAGATCACTGGGGTCCAGGACTTTCCTCAAAGCAAGTCAACTAGATCAGGGTCCTTGGGGTTTTGCCCAGTCAAATTTTAAATATTTCCAAAGGTCGAGATCCTATAGCCTTTCTGACTCTCATGTTTAACCACTCTCATGCTGAAAATACTTTTGCTGAGATTTAATTGGAATTTCCAATATTCCAGTGTGTGTCTGTTGCCCCTTATCTCACAGCGGTGCAGCTCTGTGACGTCTGGCTGTCTCCTCTTCATCCTCTCATTTGGCAGCTCCAGGCAGCAGTGGGTTGTACTTGAGTATTTTCTCCTCCAAGCTGAACAAATTTAATTCTCTTGAACTCCTCTTACACGTGTAGGCTCCAGCTTCTACATGTCTTGGTGACTTTTTCTCTAGTACATCCATGTCTATCATACTAGGGAGCTCCAAACTGGACACACCATTCCAGATGTGCCTCATTAGTGCTGAGGAGAGGGTAACAATAATGTCTCTCCATCTCGTGTTTGGAAGCCAAGTCTAACCGGGCTGTTTTGGTTGCTGCTTCCTCCAACTCAGGGCTGCCTGCATTTCCCTGCTGTAATGCCCTGTAGTTGCCGTTTGCCTTGGGTTGCAATGCCTGGATGTGGGCAAGCTCAGAGAATGCTCTGAGGCAAATCAGTGCCATTTTCACAATGTCTGCATGGCAAGGGCTGTCCTGGCCTTTTGTCTATGCACAGAGTTTCACCTAGGTATGTCTGTGCACACCACCACTGCTTAACACTGACTGCTATCCTTGAACTCTTCCTCTTCCATGTATTTTTTAAAAGATATTTTATAATGCATTATAAGTAAGGCTTTTCAAAAATTTCCTCTTTCAACCTTGAAAATAGGGAATTGGAATAAATAAAAGCACAGCTGAGCTGCGCATTTTTTAAACCCAGTGGAAGAGCACGAGCCATGAACCTGCAGGCTTAGCTCACTAACTGGCTCCATGCAGCAGCAGCAGCAGCAGTGCCTAGGGGCAGGATCTCATTCTTCATATACAGTATGTCTATGTTGCCTTGCTTCACTTCCTATCCTGACTTCCTCCAAAACAAAAGAGAAAAATCACCTTATACAGCAGGTGTGGAGAACTACAAGTGGTAGAAAAATGTTTTGAATGGATTTTCCCATTCTCCATATGCCACCCCACACAAAAACATATATCTGATGGTATGGCAATCATATATCGGGAGGGTAAAGCCTTCAGGACAGACAGTTTTTGGCTCTGTGCTTGTACTATACCTGTCAGGCTAAGTTTCACACTCATTGGGAAGGTCCTACAGAGTAATATGAATTACAGCAGCTTTTAGAGGACCCTTTCTTGGCACTTGGCTCATCAAAGCTGCACAACTCACGGATCAGCAGTTTCCGCACAGTTTGAAGAAATGCAGTACTTGAATGTTCATGTTGAACTTTTCCAGGAAACTGAAGAGGATCAAATGAAGTGTTTTATTGAATTCTAAATACAGAGTATTTTTTTTTGTTTACATGCTTGTTTTCATCAGAAGAAATGTTAGAAAAAGAATCCCGTGGGAAATTAAAGGGATGGAATGCCACATTTTGAAAGTGCCAGAATTAAATATTCCTGCTTTGGAAGTTTGCCTCCCCTTCTCCATCATGAGCCATTGTGGGATTTTGATATCAAACCTATTTTTCACTTGACCTGATGTATTTTCGTTACAAATCCCAGTCTTTTTTTGCAAAATGCAAATGAACGTTTTGCTAATCTGGCCAGATAGGATCCCCACACAAAGAAGAGTGGTCTTGCTTTTGCAAGCTTATAGTTCATGGGGACTAGTATTAAATAGAAAAATCACTTACATCAAAATGTCAGGCTTAAAAATCTCATAGATAATGGTAAGCTGTCCATTATAATGTCAGAGGAGCTTGTCCACTAAGTATTCACAAACACATCTGCAGCACCACAACTCATTTTGTCTGAAGCCATATCTGTTCCTGATATCAGAACTCTCCATAAATAGCAAGAGAATTCAAAGCAGTATTTACAGGCTATTTCTTCTGTGAAGCTTCTTCTATAGCTGTTCTGTTCTCATAATGATATGCTGAAACCCAGTCAGAATATTTGAATCTTAGAGAAACAAAACACAGCTGAAGTAGCTGGAAGGCAAAGGGCTCAGGAGGCAATTTCCTCTGATTCATCAGGAGACAAAGGCAGAGCGATGACTGTATTTGTGTTAATAACAGTGGAATTGCCTCCCTGGTGCTGTTACCCCCATATTTCTTTAGCTCTTGCTGTCATGCTCCATCTCGTAGCCCCCCACGCCTCTGCTCTCAGTCACAGCCAGGCTCGATGAGTCCATGGACCTCCTGCCATCCCCATCCTGGGGCACTGCCCTGAGCAAAGTGGGCTGGTGAACCAAGCTGCCAAGCCCCATGCAGGTATTCCAATCACAAGTGCCAGCTTCACCATCAAAATCTAGTTTTCCTTACTCTGAGCTCTCTCATCATCCCCCATTAAAAATGAAGTTGACTTCACCCTTTCTTTGACAATGTCCACTTGGTTGGGATCCCCTGTTGGGTGGAATGATGGTCAGGAGAACACTGTCAAGCTCTTTCACTGAGAGCAATTGGTGGGACCCAGTATCCCAGGCAGCTCCACTGGGTGCTGCAAAAGAGATGACACCTTCCCTGGAGGATTGTCCCAGGGAAGATGGTGTTCTTTGCACATGTGTAAGTCCCCAGGCAGAGTCAGAAGACAGAGAGTACAATGCCATCAAATGAGGATTAAACTCTGTGCTGTATTGTAAAATGTCAACTAAATTAATTCCATCTATAAGCTCCCTGCACGTACCCCAAAAGGTAGAGGAGTGCTATGTACACAAAGCTAGAGAGACTTTCATACGCAGACATTGGAGTGGAATTTCCACACCACAGTATGTCTGGAGAGAATACTATGTAAATAAGAGTTTAGTCAGCCTCTGATTTCCTTTGCTATCTTCAAGATATTTGTGCTAGTAGGGGAAATCTTTCCTTCTAAGCAATGCCTGCTTGATCCTATGGGATTTATAATCTTGTAGTTTACAGTCCACTGCAATGAAAGGCATCTGATGGTGTCTCAGCTTTGTTTAGATGTGACTCTTTGGTAGGACTTTGCAATGCAATAGCTGATCTCAGGAGCTGTCAGACCCACAGGCCAGGAGGGACTGTGGGCTCCAGTGCAGCATCCCTGCAGTCCCCACATTTTGTTGGAGCAGAGGGGCTTACTGGCACCATGGGTGCTGTGATACTCAGAGCTACAGCTTAACACCACCCACCAAGGGCAGATTGGGGTGCTGGACTCCACACTTCCTTAAATGCTAAAGAAGCAGCTGTGTTTGTGTATATATGCATATGCATATATGCATCTATTTACAGATCCAAGGAGAGTAGCTGACTACTTTCCTAATGGTGTGCATATTATACACTCAGTAGTGTTATTATTATACACATTATATACCTTTATATATATATGTATATAAAATATAAAGCAATATTTAATATATATACATACATACATATATACATATATATATATATATATGGAAAAAACATTCATGGGCTTTAATTGCCAAACAAGCCTGTGGAAACCAACCAGGTTGTTTCACCTATTTCTGCCGTTGCAGCTGTGTCCAGACTAGGTCTCCAGAATCTGAGTTATAACCACTACTCTTGCAGAGAAAACAATCTCCTGAAATAACTCTGTTTCTGCACTTTGCACTTTCAAATATATTTGGAAAGTAATTGGTTTCTGTAAGTCACACAGAAGACTCTTGAGTGGTCTCCTGTTGTGCAGCACTTATGCCTGTTGCATCCCACCTGTCCTGTAAGCATCAACAGAAACCAGTAATACTCATCTCAGCAGTGTCTTACCATTTGAAGGGCTGTGTCCAAAAACCCGGATCTTACCAGAAGTGACACTGACTCCAGCTGAGGGGCTGCCTACATCTCTTTAACATGCAGTGACCACTAGTAGGCTTAATAGAAATACAGAAGGATATGGCAAATATGTGATAATCCAGGACCTAGAGAATTCCCTCAGCCTCAAGGTTAAAAGGACCATGCTAGTTTTGCAGGTGCTGGAATGAGAACCAACTGGCTCTGTTTGCAACCACTAATGCCCCAAATTAAGAACTGAACCCACTTATTCTGGTAAATCAGAAAAGTTGCATTTGTAATATGTAGGCATAAACAAGAGAGGTATGCAGGATCAGACTACCAACCTCTACTGTTGGGATTTAAAACCTGACTTTAGCAGATGTCATTGTGGCCCAGAACACATGCTCTACACACAGTTGAGGAGATACAACCTATGAATGCTCTTCAGGAAGCCTGGCGCTTTAAGAGCATAGCAATTGCACAACACAGTAAAACAGAGCAGCTCCAGCTATAAATCATGGTTGTTAAGTGAATGTTCTGGGATGTGCATCATGAGACACAAGAAGTGATCTGAAATTAGACTCAAAGCACAGAAATCCCAGATTAACACTGCCAGTGGTTCTGTCTCTTTCCTGCTCTGGAAGGGTAAAGAACTCATCTGAAAGCAACATCAGGGATTTATTGAGTATGGCTGTGGGTAACACAGAGCTGAAGTTACTACTGGCTGTGGTTTTGATTTCTAACACTGCAGCAAACTGCAGGTAGAAATATTTTGTGCTCATTTTGGCACTCACGACCTGATCCTCTCACCCACACAAAGGCCTTTTGGCAAGATAGTCTCTCCTGTTTCATGTCCTGCAGTGCAAGAAGGAAGCCCAGGCACTGCTGCCTTTTGTCCTGGTCTCTGCAGAAGCCCAATATTTTAGTAGAGATCAGAACAGCATTTCTTAGGGGTGGCAAATAATGCATAGCTAATCCATTAGCCTTAAACACGGAGCTGAAGGTCACAGTCCCAACACAGGCAGTGAAACGCCAGAGGTGTAAATTTGCAGTGATACTAAGTAACTACAATTTCCGTAGGTTTAGAGGAGAATAAATCACAGTTATACTGAGCCAGCTGTACTGAGAGAGAGCTGAGAAGCTCTCTGGTGTCTCCTCCTTCCACTGGCAGAATAACTTATCCTTATGCTCTTCAATTGAGCCTCTTATGCTGCACTCTCTGAAGCATGCATCTAGAAATCTAAATGTTATGGTAAGTCCAAGGAAAAAATACATATAGTCGTAGAACTGTCTATTAAAACTAAAAGCTCTGAAGTAGAAATTTATGACAGTGTAATCTGAAAAGAATAAAGAGATAAAGGAATGTGAATGTTGTTTATGAAGAGAACACAGAGAATGAGAAAGAAGCCAAGAGACAGTGCTGTCAGCACTGACCCTGCTAAGCACAGTCCTACCAAATGCTCTAAAACCCTCTTGCCTGCACCCTATCTGTAGGCACCTTGTCAAGAGGCTTCATGCCAGGATGTGCTGTCCCCATTTGTAGGGACTGCCAGTGTGAGGGTCTGCACCAAGATCTGAGGTGGAGGGGAGGGGGGCAGAAGGTGCACTCACTCCAGCTCTCACTAGAACTGGTTCAACAGAGGTTTGAGAAAGTTTTTCTTTAATTCCCCTTTTTACGTTTTTTTAAGGTATGTTATAATATGGTCTAGTCAACTGTTGCTTCTACATCTCAGGAAAGTCTGATCTCAGGGATGGTTGGGGGGCCAAAGGGGGAAATTGGCTCTGTGTCTCTCCTCCTCTGATTACCCATCCTTGGGTCTCTACCCTGGCCTGCTGCAGGGAAGGCAATGGCCTGCGGGGCATTCTGCAGGTACCTTCTCTTTCTTCCTCCCTAACTCCCATGTATGATGGGTTTTTTTCTGTCAGGGGTTTGGTTTTTGACAAAAGGTATGAAAGGGAAAACAGGGAAGGAGAACAGCAAAAATCAGTTCAACAAGGAAACATAGGGGTAAATGGTAAAGCAGCATCTGACAGCCACACCAGGGCCCCAGAAAAGCTTCCTCCCCATCAGACCCCACACAGGTGTCCCAGAACATGCTGAAATATCTTTGGGCTAGAATATCCAGGGGGCCCCCGCCACAAGGAGCAGGCAGAGTTTTACTGGCAGGGAGGTACCTGGGATGCCATCTTGGTCCTCCATGTCCCTGGGTGTGGCTGGGACTATTCCTCTCACTGTTCTGCTAGGCTGTTGTCCCCTCACATTCCACTGGGGATCCGTTAAGTTCTGTTGGGGTTCTGCTGGGGTTCTATTGCCATAGTTCCTGTATTGCCATATCACATGTTGTCAGACAGGGAGGTGGGGGCTCCTGCCAGCTTGCAGCCCTTCCTGGACATTTTGGCGAGGCTATGGGAGCCTGGCCAGAGTGGGGGAATGGAGGGGATAGGGACTTGCTGTGGTGGAGGATGTGTGAGATCACATCCAGAGAGGTGGGGCCAGCCTGGTATGCTGGAAGTGGGAGGCCAGTCTGTGAGCTTGTCTTGAAGAAGGATCAGTACTGCTTGCACCTGAGGTACTCTGCCCCTAGCAAGCCCTGAGGGAAGTTAGGTGAATTGCCCTCCTGTGCTCCTCTAAAGACAGAGCCTGGGCATCTCACCTTGCTTGATGAGGAGAGGTGGGCTCATCTGTGTAAGGCATGGTGGATGGGTTCCAGCCAAGGCTCCCTTGCTGTTCTTTTTGCCGTGTGCTGCCTCTTGAGCCTTCCCTGTCATGAGCTGCCCCCATGGTCCCAAGCACACCATCATCCTCACCCAATCCAGCTGCCAGCGCTGGGACATGGACTGCATTTGTAACCCTTGCTGTCCTCCAAAGGGCTCTCTAGCTTGTTGGGTTTGGGTGCCTTTTTTCCTCCCATCCAGAGGTCAAATAAGGTTACTACTTATTCTGGGAGCTGAGTGTCTGAGCTGGAAGGGCTTGGTGAAGTTGCAAAGGCAAAAACTGCTTCTACTTTTCATTCAGAGATTTCTTGAAAGGAAAGCCAGGTTTAAAGGAACACGTGCTCGAGTCCAAATGTGAGATGTACTGGTGCTGTTAGGAAGTTGTGGTTCCATCTCTTCAGCCTCCAGCTGTGCTTTACCCTCTGCAACCAGTTCCTTTAAATCCCTCCATCAGACTCTGTGGGATATTTTCCACTCTGGTGACTGTATTCATTGTAGACCCAGGGACTGGCCTTACAAGATGCACAGAGAGGAATTGGCCTTGTGCAGGGTAGTGTCTTGGTGTTTTTTTTAATGTTATAAGGGAACAAAGGACAACGAGTGAAACAAAAAAACACATGACCGGGTCAGCAGCCACCCAGCTAGGCTGCCTGCAGAGCCCTATGCTTTGTGTTCCCTTCAGCTCTATGCCACAGCCTGACTTTCCTTGTTGTGGGACAAGCCATAAAAATTGAACCAAAATGCCAGTGCATTTGTCATGTGGTCTTAGAAATAACAATTGATTTGGTGGGACTGGAGGAGTTTTCCTCCTCCTGGCTTCTGCTGCAAAGGGTGGAGAGAAAGCACCAGATGATGGTCAAAGATGATGTCTAGGGCCAGGGGCAGTACTTGCCTCCTATTCAAACAACTGTGATTTCAGTTTTCACCTTTTGTCCCTGATATTTCCCAAATGAAGTCCTAAGAGTGTAGAAGTTTCTCTTGCAATGCTACTGTCATAGGTGGGCTGGGGCACAACTTCCCATTGCAAAGCAATGAGTGGTTTTGTGGAGGTAGGGGACATTCCTTAATGTACAGTTATTTAAATAAAAATCATTTATTGTACAGTACATACTTCTAATATACTATAGATTTTATAATTGACTTGAATTTCTCAGTAGGAAAGAGTCAATTCCTGCATGGCAGGGCAGCCAGAGGAAAGAATGCTTTAGTCTGCTCAGCAAATAGAAACTTATTTGTAATCCAAAGGCCCTCCATTAGCTCTTACCTATTTAATGTAAAAACAGGATTTACTACACATACAACTTAATCCCCTTTTTATATTTGCATAGAGATCCCGGAGCATGTGTATGAATGGTTTTTGAGATAAGAGAGAGAAGGCCTCGGGAGTCAAAGTCATTGTTTTTGCATGAAGTATTTAATTCTAAACATAAATATTGAGAAAACTAAATTCCTGTGCACTTGCAGACTTCACTGTCATGCTCCTGAGGATTTTTGCTTTATTTCCAATTATTAAGAGCCTCATTGTAAGTGAATGAAAAAAAATACAGGAAGCTTTTACAGACACTTATGGGGCTTCATTTTCAGGTTAAAAGGAGAGACAGGCTATAGACAAAACAGAAGCAAAGGTGGTGTACTTCTTATCTCCCTCCAAAGACTGTGGCTAAGGAGTGGATGTGCCAGGCAGTAGAAACCAAGCCCCAGAAAAGGACTGTCTCCAGTGATGACCTCGAAGGGGATTGAGGCTGGAGTTCCTGTGGTGCACATTCATCAGGCTTGCTTATTGTAATTCTCATGATTTATGTTCTCACAGTCATGATTAGGTGGTGAAAAAAAAATGATCTAGGTGCAGGTTGACTTCAGAAAGTGACATTCTTTGTTCATATCCAATCAAGCCCCACGGCAGGCAGCCCTTTTGATTTAGCATTAATTTTAATATGTGTGTCCCTGAAAATAACCCTCCTGGTTTTGGAAACCTCAGAGATGAAGGACTATTGGCTAAGTACTGGGGAGAAGATTGTGTCTGAGAGCTGTCATTGCTTCCTCCAGAGGCAGTTTTGCTAGAGTGAAGAATGGGAGGCACTGGCATGAAATTCATTTTTAAAATATAGTCAAAGACAACTTGGTGGGGAAATTTACTTCTCCAGACATAAAACAGGGACCAGAGGAACTCTACCAGAATGTCTTTCAGAGTTGCTGCGATCTCAGTGGTGCAATGCAGCGAGCAGCAGGCTTTTGCCTTACTGTAGGCAACGTAATCAGAATAATTTTTACTCTTTTGCTTCTAAAGTCCGTGATAAGACTAGGTAAATGCATCTTCCTTTGGATGTAAAATCCCTCACTCACTTGATGTTGTTGTGACTTCAATAGGCCAAGATTTTACACCAA